GGTGACCGCTATTACTACAGTCAACCCGCAGAGTAAGGATGCGCGATAAGGATGCAAGGCCATTAGAAGCCCATTCTGAAGTTCCCGAGCGGGGCGCGACCAACGAAAGTGGCCAATGATGCACCGAGGAGGCAAGGATGCAAGGGTACCCTTGGGAAGGTTGCCCATCCTTACCACGCGGGTTGACTGTACGGAGTGCTGCTGCTTGGTGCCCTTGCGAGATGATGCAACCTGCAGTTCGTGAGTGAAGCGAGGAGCGGGGAGCAAATAGCAAGGGGTCAGGGTCGAGGGGGCAGACTGGGGAAGCGAGGAGCGACCAGCGAGGAGCACGGAGCGAGAAGGGACGAGCGATGGCCGAGGAGAGAGAGAGAGAGAGAGAGAGAGGACAGAGGAGCGAGGAGAGAGAGGAGTCGGGGTCGGGGGGGAGAGGGGGAAGGAAGCGAGGGGCGATCAGCGAGGAGCAAGGAGTGAGAAGGGAGGAGCAACGGTCGAAGAGAGAGAGAGAGAGAGAGAGAGAGAGAGAGAGAGAGAGAGAGAGGGAGAGAAAGAGAGAGAGAGAGAGAGAGAGGGAAAGAGAGAGAGAGAGAGAGAGAGAGGGAGGAGAGAAAGAGAGAGAGAGGCGGGGAGGGATGAAGGAGATCCGAAGAGAGAGGGGGAGGCAGACGCCAGTAGCCAGGAGGGAGACCCGAGGGGCCAGGGGAAAGGTGGAAGAGCGGTAAGGAGTGAGAAGATGGGAGCCGGGAGCGAAGAAAGGGAGGTGAGGGGCGAGGAGAGAGCGGGGGGAGCGAGGAGTGGAGCGAGAAGGATGGCATGAGACGTGGCCAGCCCACGCATGTCTCAATGGCCTCGGCGCTGGGGCCGTCTTGGGCCGTCAGGGTCCTGGAAGGCCTGCTTGCTGGAACGCTGTAGATACGGAGCAACCATATGCCAACCATGCACGTTTTCCGAAAGGGGTTGTGACGATGTTGGCCTTTCGGGGCTGTTTTAGAAGCTGCGTGGGGGCCTCTGAGGGCCTCGTTTGGGCTTCTTTGGGCCCTCATGCGTCGCCTTGGGCGCTACTTCGTCCTGTAACTGACTGAAACTCGCTGGGGCGCCTCGGGGGGCGTTTGGGAGCCGTCGTGGGCCGTCCTGCGCCGCTCTTGGAGCCTTGCTGAAGTCCTTCTGGCCCGTCTTTGGTGCTTCTTGGGCTGTCCTGGGGTCGTGTTGGGCAGCCTAGGGGCTCTCATGCGGGCCTCGGAGGCTGTCTTGAAAACATGTCTTGGACCTTGATGTCCTGCTAGAACGCTGTAGAGACGGAAAGCACACATATGCCATACTTGAACTTTTGTTCGAAAAAAAAAGATTGAAACGATTTTGGCATTTCGGGGCTGTCTTGGGGACCCTTTCGGACCACGCTTGGAGCGTCTGGGGAGCCTCGTGATCTGTCGTCTAGCTAACTGAGGCCGTCTTGGGCGCCTCTTCGGCCATCAGCAGGCTTTATTGGGCCGTATGGTGGGCGTGGCCCTGGGCCCGTAAGGCTGTCTAAGCTGCCCCAACAACTCTTTCTGGCCTCCCCGGGCCTCTCGGAAGAGAAACACGTCCATTGATACACAGCACCTTCTCGCACGCACAGGTTCTGGCATTGTAGACGAGACTAGGGCTGACGCGTGGTCTACCAGCCACCAACGCTGCCTCTGGGGCTGTCTTGGGGCCCTCTGGGGCCGTTGTGGGTGCTCTTGGAGGCCTCTTGGGCCGTGTCGGGGCGATCCTGTCTGAGATGGCACGTGGGGCCAGGGCAGAGACGTACCCGACATATTTTCGTGATAGCGTGGGCCTGAACTTCGCCTTTGATGATGCATGCGAGGAGCGATCAGCGAGGAGCAAGGAGTGAGAAGGGAGGAGCAACGGTCGAGGAGAGAGAGAGAGAGAGAGAGAGAGAGAAAGAGAGAGAAGAGAGAGAGAGAGAGAGAGAGAGAGAGAGGCGGGGAGGGATGAAGGAGATCCGAAGAGAGAGGGGGGGGCAGACCCCAGTAGTCAGGAGGGAGACGCGATGGGGCCGAGGGAGAGGTGGAGAGAGCGGTGAGGAGTGAGACGATGGGAGCCGGGAGCGAGGAGCAAGAGAGAGAGAGAGAGAGACAGAGAGGCGAGGAGCGACGAGCGAGCGGTGCAGAGCGAGGAGCGAGAAGCAGTGAGCGAGAAGGGAGGCTTGCGAGGAGGCCAGCACACGCACGTCTCGATGCCCACGGCGCGCGTGTGGCCGAACGTCTGGTCTCCTGTTCGGTCGCCGATCGGGCTCTCTTTGGGTGGGCAGCGCGGGCCCAGAGCTCTCTAAAGGATCTTTCCTCGGACGCCTCGTTTTGGGAGTGTCTTGGGACGCCTCGGAGCCCTCTTGGGGGCATGATTTGGGCCTCTTGGGGGCCTCCTCGGGGGGGGGGTCTCCTGGGGGCCTGCTGGCGGTGCCGAGGGGTCATCTTGGGGTGGAGGGCTGGGTTCGAAATGCTACTTCAACTTACCTCTCTTTGGGCCGTCTTGGGGGCCTCTTGGGCCGTCTGGCGGCCCTCTTTGGCCTTCTGGGAACCCTCTAGGGGGCCCACTAGGACGCTTTGGGGCGATATTGAGGGCCCCTGTCTCAGAGCATCGGAAGCCCGAAAAGGCGAGAACGTCGAAGTCCTTTCAATAAGCCAAAGAGAAATCACCTCTTTTTGGCATCTCTGGGCTCTCTTGGGGGGCCGTCTTGGAGCTCTCTTGGGCCGTCTTGGGGCCACCTGGCGCTTTCCAGAGCCTTGCCCGAGGCCCTCCGGGTGCGCTCCGAGGCCCCCGAGTCCATCGGGCCCCAGGCCCTTCTCCAGGCGGCGAGCGAGGGGGGGAAGCGAGAGGGAGACGGCCTTCTCAGCAGGCGGCGGGACTTCTCGGAAGCCCTCGCGCCTTCTGAGAGGTTTTCAGCATCTTCCAGGAAGGCTTCGAAAACTTCTCAGAAGGCCGGGGGACTTCCGAGCCTGCTGAGAAGGCCCGCCTTTTCTCACTTCCCCCCCCGGGCTTGCAGCCGATTCTCGCACGCACTGATTCCAGCATTGCAGAAGAGATGACGCTGTCTGAACTCCCTTGGGGCCGCTTGGAAACTGGGTGGGGGCCTCGAAGGGCCTCTTGGGGACTCATTGGGGCCCTCATGGGCCGCCTTGGGCGCTAATTGGGCTGTCTTGTGACTGTCTTGGGCTCTATGGGGCGCCTCTGGGGCCGTTTGGGAGCCGTCTTGGGCCGTCCTGCGCCGCTCTTGGAGCCTTTTTGGAATCCTCTTGGGCCGTCTTGGGCGTCTCTTGGGCGTCTCTTGGGCCGTCTTGGGGTCTCATGGGGGCATCTGAAGCTATCTTGGGGGAACTTGTAGGACCTGCTAGAACGCTGTTGAGACGGAAAAGACAGACATGCCAGGAATCACGTTTTCCGAAAAAGGTTTGAGCCGATTTTCGCCTTTCGGGGTTGTCTTGTGGGCCCTTTTGGACAATGCTTGGAGCGTCTGGGGGGCCTCGTGGGCCGTCGTCTAACTAACTGAGGCCGTCTTGGAGCCGTCTTGGGCGCCTCTTTGGCCGCCTTTAGGCTCTGTTGGGCCGTATAGGAGGAGTGGGCCGAGGCCTCCAGGGCCGTCCAAGCTGCCCGAAAAAGCCCCTTGGTGCACAGCACCTTGTGGCGCGCGCGGGTTACTGCATCGTAGGAGATACTAGGGCTGACTCGTGGACTACCGTCCACGAGATCGCACTCGCATGAAAAAGGGAGGATTGCAGCGCAAACGCGTCCAGCTCATCTTCTCAATGTTGATCGCGACGGCAAACGCAAAGAAATATGGCGCAACAACATACCACAGAGACGACAGACCTGTTTGCGACATGGCACGTGGATGGAACGCGCTGGAGCACCCTCCAAACGCTCCGACAGGCGGCGGAGTCCGAGTGAGCCAGCCCAGGCGGGCAATCGATCGGACCTTCGACGTGCCGACATGTAGCGGAATCCTATTCGGACCCAACCAGGGTCAACCATTACGGAAAAAGCGAAATCATTGAAAAGAGGATTTTGCAAACAAGCTTGCCCCGCAACATGGATGAGAAGATGTCGCTCAGCTGCCGAGTCGTGCCCATTCAATCGCTGAGCAATAATAGCACCTGCATGCCACGCTCGCACGCTCCAGCTCCATCTTCTTAGCTGAGTAGGGTGTCGCGGGGGAGAAAACCCACGGACACCAGATGACACAATGATTACCAGGGCCGTCTTGGGCCTGTAGGACGAGGAGGCCAAATACGCTGCAAACATAACGTTTTCAATGCGTGTGGCCGTTTTGCGGCTGGAAGTGTGGAGAGGCCGTCTTAGGCCTCTTCTGGGCCGTATTGGAAGCTCCGTGAGAGCCTCGGAACTCTTGGGACACTTGGGGCTGTCCTGTGCTGTTCTGGGGGGTCTCCTCCGGGGCCCTGTTAGGTCGTCTCGGGGCCGTCTCAGCGTTGCTCTGGGGCTGCCCAGGATGCTTCTTGGGATCTCGGAGCACCTCCTGGGGCCGTCTCACTGGCCCCCTTGGACCGGTCCTTGAGTGCCTCGTGCCGGGCTCTGGACGAACGTCCGAGTCAAGTCCCACAATGCCGTGGCCTCGCACTCACACTCCCTGCGTCAGAACAGTTTTGGACGCCCGAAATGGGCACGGAAAAATGGGCACAATGCCCAACAGCAAATGTTGCCCCGAACCAACAGCGGCCGCTGTTGGGCAGGCGGCCTTCTGTCCCGAATGGGCACAGGCCGCGGCGGCGCGGACAGCGAGTCCTGTTCAAAATGAACAGGAACTGCTGTTGGGCATTGTACCCATTCTTTCTGTACCCATGTCGTTCGTGCAGAACAGTGATGTGCTCGGGCTCCAGTCCCGGGTCCCCCTTGGGTCGTCCTGGCGCCCTCTCGGGGCCGCCTTGGGTTAAATCGGGCGTGTCCCCCTTACGGGGGGATCTTCGACGAAAAATAAGAAATACCCAGAACCCATCAACAAAAATATATATCAAAAATAATAGGGGGACTACTTCTTCTAGTATTTTTTTGACCTTTTTGGAATCTGTTTGGGGTATATTTTGTACTTTTCGTCGAGAAGCCCTCTGCAGGGGGACAGGCCCGACTTCAGCCTTGGGCCACCTCGGGCCTCTCCGCCGTCGGGCCCTCCGGGGGCCCTCTCGGGCAGCCCTCTTCTGCGGCACACTCTGCGGGCCCTCTTCTGGAGCTTCCCGGGGCACGACGACGACTGCGACGACGACGACGACGACGACGACGACGATCGACGATCGACGACGACGACGACGACGACGACGACACGAGGCAGCCATTGGGGCCCCTCTCGGGGCTCTCTTGGGGAACTCCGCGGCCGCACCGAGCCCTCCTGAAACAAATTGGCCTGGGGCCTCCCCTGAGGCCCTCTGTATGCCGCTCCCGAGGCGTGCGGAGCGCCCTGCCAGAGGTCTCTGGAGCCGCCTTGGAGCGCTCATGGGGTCCGTCCTGGGAATCTCGTGGTCGGGCCCCGCTGGCCCGCTGGCCCGTGAGCTCCCGCGCCTCTCCCTCGTTTTTCACCGGCCAGACGCCGAGGTTTACGTCGGGCATGTCCCCCCTACAGGGGGATCTTGGGCGAAAAATTAGACAGTACTAGAACATATTTCAAAACAGCCAGCCAAATGCCCAAAACCTTGTCCCCAGACTATATTTTTGACTGCTTTTGGATACTCCTCCTGTGGAGGGGCAGGCCCGCCTTCAACTAGGGTTCTGAGGCCGACTGGGCCCGACCCGTGGACTGCGTCCGCGGCAGGCGGCCGGATCTGATCGTACCTTGTCTCTGTGGTCAGTGGGGCTGACCCGCACACCTCCTGATCCGCTGTCGGTGAGAACAGCGCGCACGTCATCGCGACACGAACCCGCAGCCCCCCGCCCACGGCACGCGCAGTAGATTCGCGCCGGGTCGACGCGGCCTCGACCCCGCCGCGGGCGTTCAAGGTTGAACGCCGGCCCAGGACCGGTCGGTGGGAAACAATCTGAGCTATCGGAAAACGCCGATCGTCCAAGGTCGAACGATCCACGCGGGATCAGAAACTCGGAGCAGGGCCTGGTCTGTTTGGCCTCCTGCCTGCAATCCTGCCAGCGAAGTTGCTCGCCTGACTTCTTTGCTGCTTGCTTCGCTGCTGGCTCGTCCGCTCGCAGCCGCTCGCTGCCGGCTGCCGCTCGAGGTCGTCTTGAAGCCATCTTGTCACGGGGGCCGTCTTCGTGGCGTGCCGGGCCGCTCCGAGGCCGTGAGGAGCGCCGCTGGTGCGGAATGTGCCAGGGGTCGGGCGGAAGGAGCAAGGGGTGCGGGGAGATGAGCACGGAGCTGGGGCAGAGAGGACACGAGCGGTGGGCGGGGAGCCTGGAGCGATGCCTGAAGAGCGGCGGGCACACGACCCTCCCGAACGGCCTCGACGCGCGGAGGGATAAACGCAGGGCCAACTCGGGGCCTCCTGTGGAGCTCTCGGGGCCCTCCCACGCCGCCTGGAGTCGTCTGGGCGGCCCTTGCGGCCACTTGGAGCTGATGCTTGGGGGTCTGGGGACGCTCGGGGGTGTGCCTTGGGGCCATCTTCGAGCGTTCCAGGGGCGCCTTGAGCCCGCCTTGGGGCCATGTCGGCGGTCCTGCTGGGCATCCCGAGGCCAGAAACAAGCGGGCGTGCGATACTTCCTTGGACACCTGCGGGAAGCCAAGAGACTCAGCTTATGCTTGTGGATGCTCTCTCGAAGGTACGCTTGGACTTCTTGCGGTGTCTTTGGGGCTTCGGGGCTCGTCCGCAAGCTATCTTGGGCCATCTCCGAGCCCTCTTCGGCTGCGTGGGGCCTCTCTCGCAGAGGGGCCTGCTGGGCAGAGTTTTCCCTCCCATTATGCGCCAAGCCTTTTCTCGCACCCGCGGGTTCCTGCATTGTAGAGGCGAAGATTGCTGCAGGCTCCAGCTTTGCCTCCCGCATCTCGCCAACGAGCGCCAAAGCCCACTGCCATTGCCGGCCCTGCGCGCACGCGCTGATGCCAGCGCTGTAGCTGATGACGTTTGGATCGAGCTTCGCCTCCCACATCTCGCTGAGCAGCGACAAAGCCCTCTGCCACTCCCCACCTTTCTCGCACGCGCTGATCTTGGCGCTGTAGCTGACTAGGGCTGACCCGTGGACTCCGTCCACGACATCTTTCTGGAATGGTTCTCGGAGGAACGGCGCAGATTGCACCGAAAATCTACAAACACGGCGGCGGCTCGGGCGGCGGCAGCGAGACCGCGCCTTCGTGTCCGAGCTCTTGCAGCGCTCCATCAGCTTGGCCCCAGCGCACTGCTCGTTCACCCCCCTCCTATTGAGGGCAGTTTCGAAGTCTCTCGGGGATGTGCGTCGAAGTCGAAGCCCATCTGAGGCGTCTCAGGAGCGTCTGGGGAAGGGCTCGGGAGGCCATCTGGGAAAACCGCAGGAGGCGCCGGGGAGCGCAAGGATCTACAGGGAGGGCCCAAGAGAGCTTAAAGAACATTTGAAATTCAGTAAAATCTTAACAGAAACCGCTGTTGGGTCGGCCATCACCTCCGGGTACGCCTTGATGGTGCGATCCAGTCGCATCGCCGCCAACGGGAGGGTTTGTTCGCCAAGTCCCATTCTGCTCGGCCAGAGGGTCTGTGGTCCGAAGATTGCGGAGAGGTGCCTGGGTCATATCAATTGGCTGCTGTCCCAGGGGTCCGGTCTGGTTGGCCCGAAGAGTTTGCCAAGGCCCCTGGGGGAACAGAATGCCACAGCATATCGGGCAAAGGGAGGCGGTAGCTGGCCTGTCAGACCCGGCGTTCGTCTTCTGCCCAAGCGGCGCGGGGCCCACGGGCCCCAGGGTTGGCGGCCCGCTGGGTTTCCTTTTGTTCGCCCACAGGGTTGGAGGAGGCCTCCAGGCGAACAGAATGGGGCAGGACAGTGAATGTGGGAGACTTGTCGCAAGATCTCAGCCCCCCCAAGTGTTCGCCCGAAGGGTGTGGGGCCGTGTTGGCTCCCTCAAAGGGCCGTCTTGGAGCCGTCTAGGCCCGTCTTGAAGGCGCCGTTTGCCGTGATGGGGCCGTCTTGGTTCGTCGTGGGCCCCTCATGGGCGCGTCCGCAGGCCGTCCTGGGCCCATCGGGGTCCTTGTGGGCACTATCTTGGGGCTGTCTTGGAGCCGTCTGGGGCCGTGAGGGGGCCGCCTTCGAGTCGTCTTGGGCCCCTCCTGTGCCTCCTTGGGCCGTCCTGGGCCCAGCAGGGGCCGCGTTGGCACCCTCTTGGGGCTGTCTTGGAGCCGTCTTGAGCCGTCGCAGCGCGCCTTGGGTTGTGCTGGGGCCGTCTTGACCCGTCTTGGGGCCTTCCTGGGTGTTTCCTCGGACCCTCCTGGGACTTTCTGGGGCCTCTTGGGGCATCCGACCGCCGAAATGGCGAGAAACGCAAAGGCTGTAACATTAAACAATGGAACATAAACGATTTTTGCCAGCTGGGACTCTTGACGTCTTCCAGGGCTGCTTCGAGCGTCCGAAAGCTGAACTGGCGGCAAGCGGGAAATCTTTGGAAAAGCCTAGGACAACAACCGACTTTGACCTCTCGGGACCCCCTTGTGAGGCCTTTTGGAGGCCTCTCGGAGCGCCGTGGCGCTCGCTTGGGTCGTGTCGTGCCCATTTGAGGGGCCTCGTGGACGCTCTGTGGGGCTTCCCTGAGCGTGCAAGGACCGTCTGGGGCCCTCATGGCGCCGTGTGGGGCCCTCATGGCGCCATCTAGGGAGCCTCCAAGGGTCCTGGAACGCCCGAAGGGGTCCCGGAGCGCTCCCGGGCGCTCTGGACCGCTCCCCAAAAGACAAGCATGGAAAGGCCCCAGAGCGTTGAAAACAGCTCTTGTGGGCATGCGGTCCGGCCCTCGCCTCTCGTCCGACCCCCTCCTCTTAGAGGCAAGGTGGAAGCCACTTAGGGCCTGTTGGGGGCCGTTTTGGGGCCTCTTTCTGGCCTCCCGGGAATCCCTTGGGTCCCTCTTGGGCCGTCTTAGTGCCTCTTGGGCCGTCTTGGGGCCGTGTGGGGCCGTCTTGGACGCAGCTCGTATGCTTTACTTTTTGGGTGGTCTCCTTTCCTTTCCTGGGTGGTCTCCTTTGCTTTTTGGGTGGTCTGCTTTACTTTTTGGCCCTCCTGGGGGTCCTCCTGGGCCGCCTTGGGAGCCTCCTGGCCTGCCTTGGAGGCCTCTGGGGCCGATCTGTGGCTCGGTTGGGTCCTTCTTGGTCTGTCCAGGCGCCCTCGTGGGCGTTTCTGAGCCGTCTCGGAGCGGCCTGGGGGCTCGCAGGGCGGCCTGGAGAGCCTGGCGAACATTTCAAGACAGAGGACCTTCTGGCACGCATCATGGGGCCGTCTTGGGGCTTGCTTTGGGCTTCTTGGGGGCCTCTGTGGACCTCTTGGCGTTCCCTTTGGGGGTCTTGGGGCGTAGTGTGGGCGTATGGGGGCCCAGGGCTCGGAGTGTCAGGGTTTCTCCACGTTCTTTGGCCCCTTCTTGGGCCTGG